TTCTTCTTTCGTCTGATGCTCCTAGAATGACACTTGTCAATGCTGCTTTTGATGGGGGAGGATTTCAGAGCTGGAGAAGATCAGTACTGATATCCCTTTCAGCTAAAAATAAAATTTGGATTTATCAACGTTTCATGCCCTGCACCTGCTTCGCTTCAACAGATTATTAACTTTGGAGCAGATACAACGATATGGTGACATCCTGGCTGCTGAACTCACTGTCCAAAGACATTGGAGACAGTGTAATTTACTCAAAATCTGCAAAAGGCCTCTGGATAAGCTTGGAGCACAGGTTTGGTCAATCAAATGGAGCAAAATTGTACCACCCGAGGAAAGAACTATCTGGATTAGTACATGGTACAAATGATATAGCAAGCTACTTCAAAAAACTCAAAAGATTGTGGGATGAATTGGACTCACTTAGATGTGATGTCAAATGCAATTGCCTATGTGTTTGTGAAGGTATGCAGAAATTTGAGAAGTCACTAAAGGATGAAAGCCTCATTCAATTCCTTATGGGATTGAAGGATATTTATGGTCAAGCAAGGGGAAATATACTCATGATGAACCCTCTACCCAGCATAAATTATGCCTACTCCCTTGTATTTCTGGATGAAAATCAAAGAGAAGTATATGCTAATCCTCTCATTTCTCGTGATTCTTCATCATTCATGGTAAGGAATCAAGGTAATTCAATTCAAAGGAATTTTCCATAATGGAATGGGAAGCGATCAGAAAGGTTTACTGGACAGTCTCAGAAGTACTGGAATAATCCTCAAAAGCCTAGGTTTCCACCATAAAGGACCTCAACTTTCAAAGGAAAGAAGACAAAGTTCAACCCTAATGTATCTTGCACCAACTGCAAGAAGACATGACACTATGTGGTTGATTGTTATAGGATCATAAGGTTTCCTGAGGAGTTTGAGTTCACTAATGGAAAAGGAAATCAGGGAACAATCAGGAGCGATGGAGTTTTATCTGGAGAACAGGGGGAATATCCAAACAACAATAACTACAATCAAATACTGAATCAACATCTTTCCAAAGATCAGTTTTCGCACTTGGTTCAGTTGATCAAACAGGTCAAAGTGGGAGAATCAGGGAGCTCTTACTCAGATATTAATGCAAATGTTGTAGCTGGTACAAATATCAAATATTCTGGAACCTGTTTCTCAGTTTTTAATACAAGCACCTGGATCATAGATTCAGGGGCTTCAGAACACATGTGCTTTGACTCAAATACTTTTATCTCTTTATCTCCTCTTCCAGTTCTTATAAATATTAATCTTCCTAATTCACAATCACTCATATAGGCAGGATTTCTATCTTACCTAATTTTGTTCTAGAAAATGTTCTTCATGTCCCAAGTTTCAGATACAATTTACTATCAGTAAATAGATTTTGTTCACAATTTTATTGCATTATCTCATTCTCATCTGGTCAACGTGTGTTGCAGGCACCTTTAATGAAGAGGCCTCAAGTTCTTGGTGAAGCTAGAAAAGGATTATAACTATTGGAGCCTAATGCTGAAAGTACTAAGTCTATAAATCAAGAAAACGTAGTTCAAACATCATAACAAAATGCCTTTAGTTTTCAATTCCTTATCAATTTTTTTGCAAATGCAATCTCTGATGTAAACCTTTGCACATTAGATTGGGGCATTTTCCTTTTCATCAATGAAGCATCTCAGTTTTATTTCATTTCCTGTCCAATTCTGAATGTTTATTTGATATATGCCCTAAAGCTAGGAAAACTAGGAATCCTTTTCCTTTAAGTCAAATTAAATTCAAAAGAGCATTTGAGTTAATAAATGTTGATATTTGGGATTCATACAAAGTTCTTACTTATAATGGATTTAAATATTTTCTAACTATTATGGATGATTTCAGCAGAGGGACTTGGACTTTCCTGATTAGTACCAAAAGAAATGACTTTGGGGTACTAAAGAATTTCCTAATAATGGTTGAAAGACAGTTTGGTGTGAAGATGCAGAAACTAAGGACAGATAATGCTTTTGAGCTTGGGAAAGGATCTCAAAAAGCTGCTTTGCTTTCCTCTCAAGGAATAATTCACCAAACATATTATGTTGCAACCCCTCAACAAAATGGAATACTTGAGGGGAAACACAGACATCTTTTGGAATGACAAGAGCATTGCTCTTTCAATCACAAGTTCCTATTTGTTACTGGGGTGAGTGTCTGTTGACTGCAACATTCTTAATTAACAAGTTGCCTTCTAAAGTACTTAAGGGTCAGAACCCTTATTTCATGCTGTTTGGATAGCCCCCTTCCTATGATTCTCTTAGAAGTTTTGGTTATGTTTCTGCTTTATCTAATGGTAGAAGTAAATTTGACCCAAGAGCAAAGACATGTGTATTTTTGGGCTACCCTTTGGGTCAAAAGGGTTACAAGCTGCTAGAATTGGATACCAAGAAGATCATTGTCTCCGAAGATGTTCATTTCCATGAATCCAAGTATCCATTTGCTACATTTGCCCCTTCCACAGATCCCATATTTCCTATCTCCTCGCCTCCTGATAACTCACCACCTAATCCAACACCATGTAATGGAACCTGAAATTGTCTTGCTCTCATCACCTAGTCCTAGCATAGTCAACTCACCTTGCTTCTATAACTCTCCTGATACTCCTGGACAGAGTGAGAATCACTTCTATAATTCCCCTGATACTCCTGGACAGAGTAAAAATCACTTCTACTATTCTCCTGAACAGAGTAAGACTCCGTAGGAAGTCAATCAGAGTGAGTAAATGGCATGTCATCTAAATGATTATGTTTGCAACAATATTTACCTCACAGATTTGACTACCTCCTGTTTTGCTCAACCTAGTAAACCTCATGTCTATTCTTTTAGAGCTTTATCTAATCATAATCAGCACATCATGCAATCTATTTCAGAAATTTCACAACCTAGTAATTTTTCTCAAGCTTCTATGCATCCAGGGTGGCAACAAGCAAATGCTTTCAGAGATTAAGGCTGTGGAAGCCAATAACATATAGGAGGTGACTATTTTACCACTCGGCAAGAAGGCTTTACCTTATAAATGGGTATACAAGGTAAATCACAACTCTAATGGAACTGTAGAAAGACTGAAGGCAAGGTTGGTGGTGAGGGGGAATATACAGAGAGAGGGAATCGACTATACTGAGACCTTTTCCCCTGTGGTCAAGATGACTACCACATGATGTCTAATGGCAGTAGCAGCTAAGAAGAATTGGCTTATTTATCAGTTAGATGTCAATAGTGTATTCGTATACAAGAATTTACAAGAAGAGATTTTTATGAAGTTCCCGGTAGGTTTATCTTCTCCTAGTCCTAATCATGTGTGTCTCCTCAAGAAATCATTATATGGTTTAAAGCAAGCTTCATGGCAGTGGTATGCTCGGCTTGCTGGTGCACTAAGCTTCAAAGGGTATTATCCTTCTTTAAATGACTATTCTTTGTTTTTCAAAAAGCAAGGGACTTTCGTTTGCATTATTGCCGTCTATGTAGACGACATTCTTATTAGTGGCAATCATCCAGAAGAAATCACAGAACTCAAAAAACTTTCTTAATACTGAGTTCAAGGTAAAAGATTTGGGAAATTTACATTGTTTTCTAGGCATGGAAGTTCTCAGAGAAAAGTGGGGGATAATTGTTTGTCAGAGAAAGTTCACCTTGGATTTATTGAAGTAATTCGACGTTTCTAATCAGCCTTGTGTCTCATCTCCTCTTGAACCATCCTCCAAACTGTTTGCAGATGAAGGGGACTCTCTTCAGGATCCCACTGTGTATCGACATCTTGTTGGGAAACTGAACTATCTCACACAAACACGCCCGAATTTATCATTTGCAGTGCTGAAGCTTAGTAAATACATTCAAAATCCATGATTTTTTCATTTCAAAGCAGCTCTTCGAGTATTGCGTTATCTGAGAATAGATCCTGGCCAAGGAATTCTTTTGAACTCTGACCCATCTCTTTGTCTGATTGCTTTCTGCGATGCCGATTGGGCATCTTGTCCGGAGAGTCGCCACTCCGTTAGTGGTTTTTATATTACCCTTGGTGCATCACCAATTTCTTGGAAGTCCAAGAAGCAATCATCTATTTCCTTATCATCCGCAGAAGCTAAGTATAGATCTATGCGCCGAGTCGTCGCCGAACTCACTTGGCTCACTCGCCTTCTTGACGACCTGTGAATTTTACCATCACTGCCAGTTCCTATTTTTTACGATAGCAAGGCGACGATTCACATTGTACGCAGCCCCGTCTTTCATGAAAGGACGAAACGTCGAACTGGACTGCCACTTCGTTCGACAATAGTTTCTCTCTAGCCTCATCACTCTCTCTTTTGTTCCTTCCTCCTCCCAACTTGCTGATTTATTCACTAAATCACTCTCAGGACCTTCACATAACTCTATTCTTAGCAAGTTGGGGGTCACTTCTTTACTCTCCAACTTGAGAGGGGTGATGAGAAGAAGCCCCATAAACGATTCAGTGAAAGCAATAAAAGGAATTTAGGGCTACAGACAAAGGAAAGGGGATTTCCAACAAAGGAAGATGTTTCAGATATAACAAGGAATAAGAAAGTTTTATTTGCACAAAAGGGCTTGACATATAGAGCAATCACAACCATTGATAAAGGAATTGATAGATTCAATCTCAACCATTCAGATCAAGTGAGGGACAACTGTGAAGCATTGGATGCCAAAATTATTCCCACATTGTAAAGAATAAATGCAGTTAGTTTGTTAATTGTGGTAGCAAATAACAATTAGACAACCGTACAAGATTTTATTTTCTTTTATGATTTTTTATTTACATAGAATATACAGAGGATATGTTGTATATATATAGGGCAGTCAATGGAATAATATTTACACAGAAAATTCTGTACATTCTCTCTTCAATTCTTCATAATCTTTCAACAACTAATGTCTGTTAATTAAAAACAATGTTAAGTGTGAAGTGGCTATTATTAATATTTGTTTCACTTAAATGGCTTGAGCAAACTAAATTAAGTTGAGCAATTAGTAGAAATTAAATTACTTGTGAGCTGAATTTAAGCATCAAACAAAGATTTAAATTCAACAATCTTGCATCATTGCTTCAAACTAATGAGCTCCGCAGGTGATCCTAAGAATCTGGCAAACTATGAGCATTGACAAATCCTTGGAATAATAGGTATATATCTAGCTCCTATTTGCTTAGAAGTCATCTTTTAATATTTCTCGTTGCCTAGTAGGTGAGTATATTTAGAAGTGAAACTCTCGTTCTGATCAGTCGCCGGATAATACATTCCAGCTCTCCTTCAAGATCTTCAATGGCCATTTCCACGGCTCCCAATCTTTTATTGGCACACTGCAGCGTCATAGCGTCGCATTTTTCCCAGGAACTTAAGCTGTTTACTCTCATCAACTTCGAACCAAAATACCCTTTATTTGTTTTCCTTGTATTTGGGCTTGGCATTGACATAAGTGACATCAAAGATTCTAAAATAGAAATTGTTGTAACTCTTACTTCTCTTAACACATTGACAACCACCATAAGATTAATTTTGTTATCTAGTGAAGATGATGAAAAATCTATGCATTTGTTATTTTTCATCCCCTTTAAGGAATGCAAGCGCTTTAACATTTCTTTCTTCAACTTCTTCCTGTGACAATAATAAGGTGCAAACTTGTTTTCTGCAGTTGCATTTTCGCCAACACTGATTCTTCTGAAGGTGGATTTGAGGTCGTGGACATGATCCTTAACGAGCAAAAGGACATCTTTGGTGGTGCCACAAACGTCTAGTATTCTTAACGATGTTTCTGAAATTTCCTGAGTCCATTTCTCTTGTCCCTGATGTGCTATTTCAACTGGTGAGTGATTAAGCATGTCGTTGGCCGAATCGTGCAAGTCCTTTAGAGCATTATAGTTGGGAAGAGCCATTGAATTTTCTTGGCAAAAGAAGTGATTTTTGAACTTGATAAGATTTGAGATTTGAACTTTTGTTTGGGAAATTTGAGATGCATGGGATTAGATGCTTAGGTCAACACTTTGCCATCCATTTATAGTTAAACACAGAAAAGGAAGTTTTGGTCATGAGAAGATGGAATAGTACGTGAGATCTGAAAACTGAGGAAAAAGGACAGGAAGGATCCTTCTTTGTACGGACTCTCGTTGTCCTCTAATTGGCAGCAGCTAAAGGCACCAAATTTTGTCCCCCCTTGGAAACTTCCTCCCATATGGGAAATACAGAAAATAAATACTATAGTTGTTAAGATATCGTTGTTTGAAAACTAGGTTAATTAGCAGGGGAAATATGCCAATCTAGCGGGTGTCAAAATTTAATTTGTTGGTATCAGACATTATGTTTGCTAATTGATGACCAAAAATGGAGCAATTAGGCTGTAATCGACATAATTTAGGATTGCCTATAATTGTTCATAAGATTTACGCCAAGATTGTGGAGTACTTTAAAGAAAATCATCCAACAAAGAATAATATTTTCTCGTTGTTTGTTAGTGAAAGTAGAGGATTAGTAGTTGAATTTTTCTTTATTCGTTCATGATTGATTGCAGTATATGTTGACGAAGCCACGAGGTCTTTTTCATGAGGGCTCCAAAAATAAATAAAACACGACAATGGCGGACAATAAACCAAAGATAGCGCATTGTTTAGGTTCACGGCGAAATAACGGAAATCAATTGAGAAACCATACGAAGAATAAAGAAATATTAGCACATGATTTAGGTTCACCCAGCGAAACAACCAAAATCAATTCAGAAACCACCTAAATTTAAAACTAACAATTTAGGAGCAATATTTTATCGAAAATTTATTTCTCAAAAAATGTTACTATATATTTTTAGCAGATTTAGTGTTTTCCATCGTTCAAGTTTATATGATATAATTTGGCTCGTAACAGGAGCGGCTTAGAAAAGTCGGTGGCCTAAAGCAAAATGATATTAAGAGGCCTTAATTTATTTATTTTTTTTTGAAAAAAAGTAATATAATTTTTTTTAAAGTCTATTTATCTAGTTTTTGAGATGTAAAGTTGTTAACAATCTTTTAATCATTTTCCTCTATTTGTTTTTCAATTGATTAAATATCTAACGGGAAATTGTCAAATATATCCCTCTACTTTCAAATATTGTTTAATCCCATCCTCCATTACACTATCTGGTTGTTTGAGTCCCTACCATTATACTATCACACAAATATACCCCTAATTTTAACGAAATGCCACGTGGCAGCTTAGGAACAAAAGGACCCCACCCCTGTTTTAATAGTTGGATCCAATTAAAACTCACCCCTAATTTTTTGCCTATTACCCGACCCATGCGCATCAAATTCAGTCAAGAGTTCATGACAAATTGGCCAACACCGCCATTTTCATCTTCTTCATACCAACATTTACCATTAAGCTCCATGTGTTCACCACTTGATTGATTCAAAAAAAAAAAAGAAGAAGTAATTCCATGCTCTAGAACATCTTTATAGTGGAGTGGATAGTAGAACTAAAAACTGCAGACAGCAACTATGTGACATCCAAGAACAAACGAGGAATCCCGGACAACCTGAGGCCATGATTTCAGCTAAGAAAGATATCAAGGTACAACTGGAGAAGTGGCTAGAGGTAGAAGAAAGTATTATAAAGCAGAATTCTACAAAACAATGGCTGAAGTTGGGAAATGCTAATACAACCTACTTCTTTGCAAGTGTGAAAAACAGTATGCCCAAAACAAGATTAGAAGGCTAGTAAGAAGCAATGGGGAGCTGGTCCAGGCAAAGCAGGGGATTGAGGAGGAAGTGATAGGGTTTTATAGACAACTATTAGGCTCAACAACTGAAGGTTTGCCTGCAATTAACCCAACAGTGATGAGGGGTGGACCACTGGTGAACAGAGAACAACAACTAAAACTGGTGTTAGCTATCACTAGAGAGGAAGTCTATACCATGCCCTTAAAGATATTGAGTGACAACAAAGCTCCTGGTTGCGATGGTTTCAATGCCTTGTTCTTTAAAAGAGCTTGGCTTGTGACTGATACTAAAGTTACAGATACTTTGTTGGAGTTCTTTTCAAATGCAAATATGTATCAGTCTATCAATTGCACAACAGTTATATATCCTTGTTCCTAAGGTGACTAACCCTTCCGGAATTACTGAGTAGAGGCCAATATCATGATCTACAGTACTGTACAAGAGAATCTCCAAAGTGCTAACAAGCAGGCTTCAGGAAGTTATGGATGGACTGGTGAATAGAAACCAGTCTGCTTTTGTCCATGGTAGATTGATAAATGATAATATTATACTCACCCTTGAGCTAGTGAAAGGGTATGGTAGTAAAGGTTTATCCCCTAGATGCATGATGAAAGTGGATATGAAGAAGGCTTATGATTCTATTGACTGGAGCTACCTGGAACAAATATTAATAAATTGCAGTTTTCAGGAAAATTTGTGCAATGGACTATGAGATGTGTGACAACTGTATCTTATTCCATAATCATTAATAGTCAGCCTAAAGCTCCTTTTCCTGCTAAGAAAGGACTGATACAGGGAGACCAATTGTCTCTGTACTTATTTGTGTTGGCTATGGAATATCTAACTAGACTCCTGATCAAGACATTAAAGAGGAATCCCAACTTCAACTACCACCCTAAATGTGCCACAATGAACATTGTCCAGCTCAGCTTTGCTGATGATCTACTGCTATTTTGCAGGGGTGATACTATCTCTGTGCAACTATTGTATGAGCTTCTAGGAATTCTCCAAAGCCTCAGGTCTAGTTGCAAATGCTGATAAGAGCTCTATCTTTTTTGGGGAAGTGAGTACTGACATACAACAAGAAATACTACAAACTCTTGGCTTCTCAAAAGGATCTTTGCCAGTCAGATACTTGGTGTCACACCTCCTTTCTTTTCCCAATTTAAGTGACATTATTCGAAATGGGATTGTTTATTTATTTTTAGAGTCGCCACTTGGGATAGGATTGTCTTCTGGTGTCCCAAGTCACCGGTTTAACTTAAATCCCAAATCGAGGAAAATTGCGACTTCCCACTTGGAGTCTACGAACCAGAAATTCTGAATAAGGAATTCTGTTGACCCGAGGAAAGGTGTTAGGCACCCTCGGATTCCATGGTTCTAGCACGGTCGCTTAAACCATTACAACTGGCCTATTATCTGATTTTAATACATGTTCAAACCGATAGTGCAATTTTAAATTATTTATCGCTTTTAATTAATTTTAAGGAAAATTGAACGTCGTCTAAAACGTGTCTTTGGATCGCGTCACATGAAATGCACACGCAATCCGGAACACATTTTATTCAACGTTTTAGGATTTGGATTTGGGTCACATGAAATGCACACCCGAGTTTAAGAAGGTAATATTATGAAATAACGCGCCTAAAGCAACTACGCGTTGTTAACTTTGAGAGGGCAATGAAAATTTGCTAAATGACACGCCTCGAATTCTAAGGATTTTAAAATTAATTGAGGGCCATGAGTTCTTGAGATTTTATTTGGCACGGTACACCTCAATTCATCCCGGAGATTGTACTCAACCAAAGCGCCAATTAAGGGTCTAAAGAACCAAAATCCACTGCCATGAGTAATGGTCTTTGAAGATAGTCAAAGCAATAAACAAAGAAAATAATCAATTGCACACTTGTGCCCGTAACAGAGGAAACTTAAGGCAACATTCCGACAGAGGCAGGTGATGATGCCTTTTCCATTAAATCCAACCCTCGAGTTAAGATGGAAGCTGCTGATTTTTAAAGAAGAACAGTGCAGAAATAGGCTCCTGACAAAACAGCCACCTTTGAGCCAACACAAGAAATCTACTCAAATATATTTAACTTAAGCAAACTTACGAGGCTGGGGTTCACAAGTTTAACTAGAGGTAATATTAAACACCCAGCAAGAGGAAACTTACATTTTAAGTTCGAACAATCCCAATGCACAAATGAATTAACAATTGCCCCTTTTAATCCTTGCACACAAAATTCTATAATACACATAGCTATTACGTTTCAATTTAGTGACATAGCCACATATTTCCAGTTAAAGAAAATATCAATTGCAAAACAATGGTGTTCTGTCCATACTAGCTACTTTCTCAAGTTGGCTGATAGTTACAACTGATCCAAAGCAATTACCATCAAATCACAAAGCTGCATCATATGAAACTAACCAAAATCATAGTTAGAACATCCCAACACTTTTGCTTAATTCTAACAAAAAAAGAACTTCACATGTCTAATCCACTTTATTACTAGAACATGAATCAATCTTGCATAAACAAAACTTGCTGGGAATTGAATCTAATACATGATAAACCTGTTGAATCATTCAGAAGCAGACAAAACAGCTCACTACTGCCATAATCGAAACCAAGAAAAGCAGAACTTCAATTTTATTTCATACACAGCAAGTTCAACATTTAAAGTTTTCGACATACCTAGATATAAGCGAACATAAACCGAAGGAAACCAACAGAGATCCGAAGCAAATGGCGAGACCCAGCAACAGGAACAAAAACGAACCAGCAACAGCAACAGAAATTGAAGTTCAACTCGAACTTCACATTCAGAAGAAAAAATAAATCCGAAACCCAGCTATCCGAGAGTGAAACCCAGCTGATGAAACTCTTTTAGTTCTTTTTTTTTTTGTTGTGTTTCTGAAAATCGAAGTTGAAGTTTCAGAAATTCTTCTGCTTTTCTTCTTCTTTTTTTTAAATTTCTCGTGAAGCTTTGGTTTCCAGATTTGAGATGCAATTTCGGATCTAGAAATTTGCTTTCCGATTTTTGTTTTTGTTTTCGTATGAGTGAGGTTATGGAGATTGTAACTATGGCGACTGGGGTTTTCTCAAATGGGGAGGGAGTTGGCTTTTGCTATGTGAGGAAGAAGAGTGAACTCTTTTGGAGATGACCAAGGAATCAACCAGAAAAGAGAAAAGCTGCGCTCCCATTTCAGGGGTAAGGGATCTTAGGTTTTATTAGGTTTTTTAATTAAATGGGTCTTGGATCAAACCGGGTCGGGTCATGGGTGGTTTGGGTAGATTTGGGTATAGGATTTGGGCTCAGCATTAATTTTGGCCCAATTTCACAAGACAAACCTTTTTTTTTTCCAATTCTTTTTTTATTTTGTTAATTTTTCCTTTTTCTTTTAATTAAAATCCTACAAATTAAAAATCCAAAATTATCCAAAATGTGAAATTAAACTAATTAGCTAATTATAAAAATTATAAAAACCACTTAATCCTAAACTAAAAGAGAAAAAATCAATAAAAGGAAAAAGTGTAAAAATGAAGCATTTTTTGTGATTTTTGATTTTTATAAAATAAATAATTACTAATTAATCCTAAAAATGTAAAGATAAAGTCTAAATGCCATGCATGATATTTTTGATATTTTTCATGATTTAACTAAATCTTAAACATGCACAAAATGCAAACAATTAAAAATTCTACAAAAAAATCCTAAAATGGCAAATAATTAACAAAAATCTATTTTACTTGGGATTTTATAAGAGTATTTCGTATATGGAAAAAATCACGTGCTGACACTTGGGAGTGCCCCTTACCACTAAAAGAATCTCATTGGTGCAATGTCCGCCTCTAATTGAGAAGATACTAGGGAGAATACGGTCTTGGACAAGATTTCTATTCTACGCTGGAAGAATACAACTCATTAAATGTGTCTTATTCTCTATTCAAGTGTTTTGGTCGCAGGTGTTTATACTATCAAAGAAGATGATTCAACCCATTGAGACTGCTTTCTTGTGGACTGGAGGGGTGGAAGTAACTAAGCTAGCACTAATTGCTTGGGATAGAATGTGCTGTCCTAGAGCAGCAGACGACTTGAACTTTTTTGATTTGGGTACATGGAATAGAACAGATAATGTTTGCAAATTCTATAGAACCTATGCAAGAAGAAAGATAAGATGTGGGTTCAATGGGTGCACATGTACTATAAAAAACAAAACAAACTGCGGGGTGCTGAGCCAAAACAGGCATCTTGAATTGTTACCGAAGTCAAAGAAATACTTTGAGAAAGTTGGATACTCAGAAGAGGATGAAGTAAGACCGAACATTTTTCAATAAAGAACATGTATAAGAGGCTAAGAGTGGACTTCCCAAAGGTCCCCTGGAGAAGAATGATATGCAATAATGCTGCTAAGTGGATCTTATCTTCTAACCGGCTGCACATAGGAGACTGCTAACCAAAGACTGGTAAATAAATGGGGATGTTTGAATAATGTAATCTGTCCTTTATGAAATATAAAATATGAGTCCATCGATCATCTATTCTTTAGCTGCTCATATTCCTCACAAATTTGGACAGCAATGCTGGAGTGGTAGGGGATACGCAGGCAGGTAATGACATGGAAACATGAGTTAGACTAGGCCGAGAGGCACTACAAAGGGAAGAACTCACTAGCTGAAGTATACAGGATGACCCTTGCTGGTAGCATATACTATATATGGCAAGAGAGGAATTGTAGAGCACTTATACTAGATATACGCTGCAGAGGAACTCTGGAACAGAGACTGCATAGAAGACTGAAGACGCTCAACTACTATCCTACCATTTAGTATAGTTGTTTAAAATGTAGGTACAGTACTGGTTAGACGTAGCGGGAAAACAAAAGGAGATTAGCTGACTTGGGGATGTTTTGTCAAGATCATGCTATAGTTTTGTATGCTCTGTAAATATTACTTGGTAAATAAAGTTTTTAATTACCAAAAAAGTATTTTGAAATGAGTCCAACAAGAGATATATCATATAAAATTTTATATTGTAGCAAGTTTATTGGTAGTACGTAAGAAAAAGAAAACGTAAACGAAAGTCTCAGGGCGGCCCGACAAATTTTGTGGCCTAAAGCCAAATTTTATGCGGGGGTCTTAATTCTTTTTAATTAGTATTATTTTTTAATTTGAAGTCCATTTTTCTAGTTTTTTTAGATGCGAAGTTATATATAATTTTTTTATAATCAATTTTTTTTTTAATAATTCTTTCTCAATTGACAATATAGTTAATCCATTTAACCTCTCTTCAGACATTATTGAGCCTAGTTAAGATTTTATCAATTTTAATTTCAAAAAATTTCTTTTTGCTGAAGTAACGCTAACCAGACTTATTAACATTATTCTATAAGCAATGGAGGGAATTCGAAAAGAATCAAAAAAAATATTTTATTGAGTATATCAATAAAACTATTATTTTCTAATTGTACTATTTTTCTTAACAATTTTAATCTAGAAAAGAAATTTAAACCATCAGTATCAGATTGATTATTAAGCTTCAAGGGACATCAAGATTAAGGTAGTATTTTTCCAAATTTTCATCATCTAGGGATCTCAAATTTTTACGCTAAATAGAAAACAAAAAATATTTTCAAATGCTTTGAATTGTTCAAATCTATTTTGAAGTGAAAAATTAGTCTTGTCTACTATGTATAAAAAGTAATTAACTCTGAAAGACTCTTCGAGATATTTTGAGATTTCAAAATCAATATTCTCGTCAATTGTTTTTTTCTATATGTCACATGTTTTTTACGAAGTTCAGGTTTGATTTTCATTTCAGATGCAATTTTCTTGGCAAAAATCATACAAGTTGCAAATCCTTTTACCCTTTAAGTTTTTAAGACCATTTTAAAAGTCTATTTTTTTCTAAATCCGTGACGAGTCAAACATACTCATCTATATTGAAACATAGGGAAAGTATATCATATATTAGATGTAATAAAAATGGGCCCCCACAAATGTGGGGCTTAATGCATTTGCTTTATTTGCTTTAGGGTAGGGCTGCCACTGGTCTCAAAACAAGCTTACTATTTAATGTCAAAATGTTACGATATTTTGTCAAAAACTAATATCACCATAAGAAAGGGTACGTAATAGTCCTTAATCACGAAATAGGAACCACGACGCCCGTATTTTTGCTTTTGTTCTTAATTTTTGGCTTTCCTTGTGTATGCTATTTGGTGTCTTGAACACTTAAACGAAATTGAGCTCACAATTATTGCGAATTTTTAGGGGTTGCCTTGATTTTATTTAGCAATAAATGAAAGAACGGGAAAATAATACGTCAGAGCAATTAGTTTTCATCTGAATATGAATATCAAACTAAGATTTGAATACATAAATTCTACAGTTAGTGCTCCAATTAGTTAACTGGCAAACAATGAGCATGGGAAAACCCTTGAAATAATAGGTAGCTAGCTCCTATTTGCGCGCTTGCAAGTAGGCCCGGACAACCGGCTCGCTCTGGGTCGGTTCCATATCCGGGCCTACTTGCAAGTCATTCTTTCAATATTACTCCTTTCCTAGTAGGTAAGTATATTCAGTAATGAAACTCTGGTCCGAATCAATCGCCGGATGATACATTCTAGCTCTCCTTCAAGATCTTCAATGGCGATTTCCACTGCTCCCAATCTTTTATTGGCACACTGCAGCGTCATAGCGTCGCATTTTTCCCAAGAACTTAAGCTGTTTACTCTCATCAACTTTGAACCAAAATACCCTTTATTTGTTTTCCTAGTATTTGGGCTTGGCATAGACATAAGTGACAT